TTCGCCTCTCTCCCTGGTGAATCTCGCTCGCCACTCTCGTTCTCGCTGGGCAGTCTCCCTCGCCTCTCTCACTTTTATACAAACACAAATGTATAAAATGCGTTTGTGTTTGTATAAAGTGAGAGAAAATTGTATATATACATATATTTTCGTTCCCCTCTCTCCCCTCTCCCAGATCTCGCTCGTCATTCTTACTCGCCTCTCTCACTTTATACAAATATAAATGTATACATTGCATTTGTGTTTGTATAAAGCGAGAAGAAATTGTATATACAAATACAAATGCATATATTTTCGTCCTATACACTTATGATTATACAAATACGATCTTCCCCTGCCCAGTTTTCTTTGTCTTTCTCTCTTTCTCACTTTATACAAACACATATTATACAATTGATTCTTTTGTATATGTATACCGAAACAGATTATACAATTGCTTTCTTTGGTATATTTATAGCGAAATGTACATATTAATAACCATAGCAAATATAAAGTTTGCTATGAAGCGCAATTATGCAAACTATAGGTATATCATACAATTATGATTTTTATGTTTGCTATATTTGAAAGTTATTCTTTAATTATTTATGTGGATTCTTGTGAAAGCCCCAAGAAAAGTAAGACTCTTGTTTGGGTCCCAAATGAACCCAATAAAACTTCTATGCATATGGACCGACCTACTTTGGACCCTTACTAGAACCCATAATCATAAATCTTACTGTTATGAAATAATATTAATAATAATAATAATAATTATAGTAAAATAATATTAAGACACAAGAGGTATAGTCAAAGAAGTGAGAGGGAGAAAAATCATTTTCTCTTCAAATTGATATACACATGAACTGAATGGAGTTTTTATTAATTAAAAAAAGAAAGTCGCGAGGTTTTTTAGACAATGCAGACTAACTTTCTACTTAAAAGTTGTCTGCTTGATTACAAATATGAGAAATCTGTTTCAATATTTTTCTGACAAGCTGCCTGCCCAAATTACTTCGCAAGATGGTTGCAAATTTATTGAAATTGAGCAACTAAAATTTAGACATACACATTCACAATACGATATTTTTATAACATTTTCTATTTAATTTATTTTTCCTCCCTAACATTCTACTGAATGTCTAAATTCTAAATTGAACTCGACAGTATACTATACTGAAAAGATTGTCTAAATTGCTAACTTGTATGCTACCAAAGTTGGGCCTTAATTTACAAAGCAACCCGTGTCCTTAAATCGAACTATTTGCACCACGAGAAAACTTTAAATCATGTCCCTATTGTTTGTATTTTAAATTATAGAAACAAGATATCACAAGGGATAATTTTGAGAATTTTTATCTCCCACATAACAAAATATTTAAGAAATGACTAAATAAAAAGCAGTATGTTGCACTGATTTAAGAAATGGGTCAAAAATAACCTTAATAAAATTTATTAAAAAAAGTTTTTGTTATATATCAGGTAAAGTTTTTTTTCTCATATTGGGCACATAAATTAATTTGGCCTATAAGGTAGAAGCTCAATACATTCAATAAGTTACAGGTAACAAAAACGCTTTAATGTATTGTCTGGACATGAGTTTTAGTTATATTGACTGACTTGCTTTTTTGTAAAAAAAAATGATTGATTAATCATGATAAAATTTAATTGTATTTTTCAATATAACTTACATAAATACCATAGTGTAAAATCTAAATTACATTATATCCCTACTCTTTTTCTAATTACACAAATCCCATGTTTTTAGGCATTTCAGATACATAATTAAGGATCCAGATACATTATTGTTGATTATCAATCTATTGCACTTATTAAGGAAAAAAAACTAAAAAATCAAATTGACATCTCATAGTATCCATCTGTTGCACTAATTAAGGGGAAAAATAATAATCTGAAAATCAAATTAAGATCCATAAATTGTGTTATTTCATTTCAAATTATTGTCAAGAATTCAATCATATAGTGTAACAAACCAAAAAATTCAAAAATTAGATTTTTTTTCTTCTTGTTCATCATTCTTTCTGTTTCCTCCATTAGCCGAAAATTTCATACGATACATAATGATTATTTTGATCTTCTTACGTTTCTTCTTACTTTCAATCATACAGAGATAAATCCTAACATAACGAAGAAATTCAATTTTTCAAAATTGCTTCGGCCCTATTCAGCGAAGAAACTTTTGATTCAAAAACTTTTGTCGAAATTTTGGATAAGCGAGGTGAGTTAGGAATGATACAAAAGTGATAGAATTGTTGTTGGACAAACGATTTCTTTTGTGAATCTTCAAGTTCATCAAAGATCCTTTCAATTTTGATTCAAGATTGTCGAAAAATTTGAGATTCAATTTTTTGTCCTAGTTCATTGAAGATCATTTTAGTTTTGATTCAAAATTGTTGAAAATTTTGTGTTTCAAAATTATTCTCCTATTTCATTGAAGATTCTTTCAATTTTGATTCAAAATTATCGAAAATTTAGAGAAGATACATCATGACTATCCTTTCGATTTAAATGATAAGTGTTGTATTTCTACTAGATACATTAAATAAGAAAGTGTTGCCCATAAGATTTAAGTTTGAGATTGATACATTATTGTTTGGTAATTGTTATGTATCAGAT